CACAGGTGTCCTCTTTTTTGAAACTGGAAATACGGTAACTGTACAGGAATGCAGCCTGGTGGTGTGTAGAGCAGCTCCCTTATGGAGGGGAAGGGTGGAGAATGCTGACTGAGGCCCCCATGGTGAGGGAGGGAGTGGGGCAGGGGTGAATGGTGCCCTGAGGCTGAGGTGGGTTGTGGGACAGACCTGCGGGAGGCTCGTCCAAGGGTGCTGGGTGGGGGGGCGGCGCAGCTCCCTACCAGGGCGCACGCCCTTGGGGGAGGCATGCGGGGCATGTGCCCCCCAGATTTGCATGTGGAGCAGAGACGGGCTGCCGGCATCGGGCTGGGGCTCTGCACCCTGCTGCCTTTGCCCCAGGAGCCACGTGACACTGTTACGCCTATTGCCGCTGCGGGGGAGACGAGAGGTGCAGAGCAGCCAGTGCGTGGCCCCTGGGGCAAAGACAGTAGGGCACAGAGCCACAGCAGGCAGCCTGCCTCTGCCGCATGCACATATCCGGGGGGGGGCACGTGCCCCCCATGCCTCCTCCGGGGATGTGCACAGCAGTGGGAAGGTGCACCCCTGCATGAGCCACCTGCAGCTCCATCTCACAACCTGCCCCAGTCCCATATGCCCCTGCCCCACTCCCTCCCTCACCATGGGGACCTTGATCTGCACCCCTGCCCCTTCCCCTCAACAGACCTACCTGCCAGGCACCACTCCACATGCTGCCGGGCTGTGTTCCTGGCCGCCTACATGTGGTTGCTCGTGTGTGTGTCTGTCTGTGTCCCCCTCTGTTCCTGCTGCAGCAGACTGGAGCCTGCACCCCGGCTGCCCTGCACTGCTGTTGCTGCCCCATGTTCTGCTGCACTGCCACTGATGCTCCTAGATCAACACAAGAACCAATTAATGTGTTTAATCATGCACGTTAACTGCAATTAATTGACAGCCCTATTTTTTAAGTTTCTGGGTATAAGTAAAGTTGGTATTTATACAAAATTGCTGGCTTATAATGGAGATAATTTTGCTTTGAAGTTTTTGCCATATAAAGTTGGAGTTACTGTTCTGTGCTTTGACTGTATATAAAAGTGCTAACTATAGGGAACAGAACTCTTGAAATTCTATGTTTTTAAAAGAACAACTGGGTGCAAAGCTCTGAAATTGCCCGTGATTTGATCACCGTTCCTGTGGGCAAGTACATCTTATGCTCCTCGTTATGCTTTTCTGTGGGGCAGAAGTCCCACCCTCAGCTGCCTCAGACTTTCTCACTGGCTGCTCAAATAGATGGACTTTACAAACCACTCAGAGGGGTTCCCTTTAGGAACAAGTATTTCAAATAAGATGACCAGTATCTTTTGGGAAATTACTCCCTCCTCCCATCTCTCCCATCCACTGGCTGCTTGAAGGAGAGGTGTAGGATAGTATTTCTCCTTCCACTGAGACCAGAGTAGTAGGAAGTGCCTCTCCACCTACCACATTGTTCAGTTCCTTTCCTTTGTTGTGGGCACGTGCTTTAGTGCTGATACCACCATGTTGGGTATCGATGGTGTAAGCTAGGACATCATAATCTGTCACAAGCAAAAGAGCGCTAATGAGTTTGTAAAGCTTGACTACAGCGGTTGGCTTCATGCCATTGTGTACGTAGCATTTTTCATGATTTGGATAATTCTTGAATGTTAATAGTCTTTAAGGGTCCTCTATTGGGCAAACAGAATTTTAGTATCAGTCAGATGCTGAGTGTCCTCTTTCAAACAGAAAGCTAAAGACGCACTGTGAAGCCTTTTTAAGGGGATGAGTAATCTGGTCAAAAATGTGGCAAGATGATTTTGGTGCTTTTTAAGAGACTGAGGCCATGATTTTTCAGCAGGAAATCTTATCTCGCTCTCAGACTAAAACTTCAGGAACTGGGTGCAAATTGAAACAGCCAAAGTCCTTCCTTCCCAAAGTGTTGGATATGTGGGGGTCTTGAAACATTCGCTTTTAAAAGTAGCTATAAGATTGTAGAAGCATTAAAGGAGAAGAGGAGTTGAATTCCAATATTGAATAATGCTGAAGCCATAGCAGGGGGTCACTTTTGACATGACCTCTGCTAACCTTGGGAGACCTTAATGTTGTAATAGATACAAAAATAACAGAACTAAAAAATCCTGTCCTGCACAGTCACTGCTTATATGAGCTGGGCCCGGGACTATCACAAATGGATCTCTGTTGCATGAGAATTGCCATGCAAAGTCAAGGGAGTTTTCGATCAGGTACAGTATGTTTTGTGTCTCCATCTTTTCCTCTTTACTTTTGTTCTCCCTTATTAAGTGAAGAAACGTAAAACATTTTGACATGATAGCTTTTTATGATATATTTTTTATGTACTGCAATTGTCAGTGGTGTTTTTAAATGACATAATAAGCTTATCTAATCAAAAAGGCCCTTTAAAAGTCTGCATGCATTAATACTGACACAGGCTCCTTAAAAAGATGCATTTAGATCATCAGCATTATTTAAAGCACAGGTTCTCAACTGTTTTGCCACAGCATCCTACTTCAGTAAAACTCAAAAACTTTAAAATAATTTTTCATTATGAATAGTTTGTATTTACTTCTATGCATTTAGGTGCGAGCAATGAAAATCAACTATTATGCTGCAATTTGTGGTCCTCCTTCAGTAAAAAGCTGCTGCAATTTTTTGTAATCTAGATGAACCAATACTTCTGTTTTAATTGCCAGAGAATACATCTGTTAGAATTAGATTTAGCTGAACCTAGAAGTGGCACTGAGCTTTTTGTTATGTTTAATTGGTATTTTGTACTTCCAGCACCTTTCATCCGGGATTTCTGAAAGCCCGTTACAAAGTTTTTAAGATTGTTTCTGATTTTATTGTGAGATCAAAATGTATTCAGATGCACCTGGCTTAATCAGCTCCAAAAATGCATTTTAACTTATTTAGAATGATGATTTTTTTTTTTTCAGATCAAGCTGCAGAACAATATATCGTATCAAATGGCAGACATACATCGTTTAAAGGGTAAGGAACGTTCAGTTCTAGTGTGATATGGCATATTTTGGAATTCTCTGGGTGTTGAGGAATGGGCCTGAAATACAATATTTAAAGAATATCTGGTGCTAAAGAATTAACAAACGGTAGCTCACCTCCTTTGTGTAAACTCAGGTTTTATGAAATACTGCATTACGTTCTCAGGCTTAGATGAATGTTGGGGTGGACTTTCATAGCAGTCTTTGTTAGGAAGTGGCAAAGAGAGCATGCTTCTTAGAAAACAGCTTGGAGCATATCTAAAGTCTTTGTCATGATAAAGATGATATATGATATTACATGGGCTAATGATATGAAATTTATATTAAACATTTAGTGTAAAAACTATCAATACAACAGAGGGAGAAAAAAATCTTCTGAATTTTGCAAAGCTTAGAGACCTGTGGAATTAGAAATGGGCCTGAAAACTTCACTTATGGTTGGTTTGGATTTTCCTTGTGTGCACTAGGAAGATTGCAGCTCTGTGCTCCATATGTTGTAATGTTGACTTCTGTTTTTCTGAAGATCTTGAGCTTATGTTTAAAGCGGTTGAGAGGAGCTATTGCCAAAAATTCATACCTGCCTGCAGGCCAAATAGATTTAATTACTGAGTGTATGTAACTGAATAATAAAATAGTAGGCAGCTTCACAAATATTTCACATTTGCAGCTTGCTCAAGAAGGGAAATTTCTAGAGCAGCTGCTTATAAAATGAAAAACATATGTCAAATATTAATATAGATAAGTGCAAAAGTATGATATTTGTTTGAATTTCACTTTTTTCAGTAAAAAAAACATAGGACATGCCTGCTCTATTTTAAAAGCAGTTTTTAACTAATGTAAATTGCTGGCCTCTCTTGAGGCTTCCAGTTATTGCCACGTGTCAGAAAATCAGCTTGAATATTACTTCCCACAAATGGGTACATCATCTTAATGAAGATGTGGCAATAGTTAAAATTTCCCCTTCCTTCCTTAGCATGGAAGGTCACAGGTACCGTTCTTAAAGTTTTAAAATAAACTTTGCTATTGGCTTTTGGTCTACATAAATACCTAGCTGCATTAGGCAAATATGCAATGCATATTAAAGATTTTGTGAACAGTTAATCAAGAAATATATTGTAGGAAAGTAAACTGACCTATCTGAGGGGATGCTCCTATATGAGGCACCAATAGTAAAAAATATGCATGTTGGGAGGACTTCTTCCTACTCACTTTGATTTGTATTATTTGGCTTAGAACAACTAGCAGAGTTACGTCAGGAATTCATCCGTCAAGAGGACCAGCTTCATGAGTACAAGAAGAACAATACTTACCTTATGAGGAGGTTGGAGTATGATAGGTATGACTTGGAATGTTTGTAGCAACTATAGACTTATGTACTATTTTCATAAAAGTAAACCTGTGTTAAAGTGCAAACTGGGAACATAGAGATTGTTCTTTAATCCTCAGACATAAGTGTCTCCAGTGGGAAGCTGTCAAATCAAAGGTGGTATCAGCACCGTATTTGAAGCCCTGTTTTCTGGTGCTCAAGGCTAGCTGAGAATGGAAAAGTGTCTGGAGATTATAATTTGTCAAGATTGTGCCAATTTTTTTTTAAGTTTGACTTAAAATTCTCCATTTCCGGAATGTCAACAATTGATTTGATGGAAGAGCTGTTATATTTAGCCTGCGGCTTTTTGAAGTGTTGAGGCTATGTTCATCAAAGTCTCCACGACAAATTTATTTTGTGGGAATGAAAGTGAAAATGTTGTGGATAGTTAAAATTTCAAGTCATTTTCAGCCTTTCTTAGTAATATTTGATGTGTGCTCTAAAAGAACATCAAGGTGACAAAGTCAAGCACTGAGAACTTAAGATACGCCAAAAGCAATGTTGCCTCTGCAGCCTTACATGATTCCCTTTGCTCTCTTTTTTCTGACTGTTTGCATCGAAGCCTTGATATTTTATAGTAATATGTTTGTATTCAGTTTTGTGTGTTTAAGGGAGAAAAGCCCACTGCACAAAAATATAGTCCATCTTCATAGAATCATAAAAGTCGGGTCGGAAGGGACCT